ATGTGAAGCTGTAACAATCCTCTTCCTCAGGTCCTCTCTGGTGTTGACTTCAGTCGGATAGACCAATCATTTCATATGTCTCCATAGAGAATAGTCTAATTATGTGAGATTGGGGACCTAGGAGGCCAAGAATGAGTGCCGCGAAGAGAAAACATCTGTTTCGTACATCCATCACAGCCTTCTGTAGTGTTTTCTGAATAATGAGAACATCAAACTCACAATTCAATTGGGTGATTGATATTGGAAGAGTTCACATGCAATGATATCATATTCAATATGACCTCAAACTGTTGAAGTAGTATGAGTTGGCACTGATTGGTAAACAATATTATACCTGAACAATATTTCTCAATGATTTTCTATCTCTTGGAGCGCACGTTCCTAGGGAGGATAGAGAGAGGAGGTAGGTATTGGAATTGTTTTTGAAAATTAGGTATCCGTGCGGACAAAGTGTCAATATTCTAATCCGCATGCACTTGCCGGTCGTGGGTTCGATCCCCATCGACTGCAGAAATTTTTCTGATGGCCCAAGAAAGTGTTTGGGATCACACGTTAAAAGGTAAGGCCCCCGTCATTCCTAGCTCGCACAAGATTCTCGAAGACTTCTGAGGATTGCTCGTAAGGGGGCAACCAAATGACGGATAAAACAATTTCTATGTTTTGAAAGGTCTCTTCAAAAAAAGTGAGTCCGGCCTGGAATTTTCAATCGGGTAGAGCCTCTTTCCAACACTTATAATACATCGATATGCAAAAAATTGATGATGCATGAATTTGTTGAACGATGCGACTACGATAGCCAGTACGAAATCATGGAATCGTTCATCAGTATTTGGTTCGTATTCCTTCACCAATCCGGTCGAAGTGTGCCGTACAAATTGGAAAGCTACAATTGTAGTGTTTTTCCTGATCTTTCTGATACTGAAAAAGTTTTTTGAAAAGTACGATTCAGAAAGTTGAAATTTTGACATTCAAAAAGGAAATAAGTTTTCCAAATATAGCTCTAGGATTTTTTTCATAGTAGTTCGATGTGTCAACACAAGTAGGTTGCTGGTGGATTTCAGGCGATAACATCGAGACGTTCCTGAAATATCATTCATCAAAGTTTCGGCCCGAATCCAAATGATGCCCTGTATTTCTGTTACGAATAAACAAAATATATTTTTTCATATACATATCAACTCACCTTGACTTCCTCTATCTGCCATCAGGCTATGGCTGGTTAGTCATGACTCATCCTGTACATATATTCGGGAAAAAAGTGCTCATTTTTTCCCACGGGAATTTTTGGAAAGTGACATTCTTCAACCTGTCAGCAGAGATGAAATGTCGACTTTTGTACCGTCACAGAAAAAATATGTAAGTGCGAAAAATAATATGTGAATCGGACCATACGTTAGATCCGTTTCTGTGTCCATTCCAACTTGACAACTTTGTTTTTTTGCATTGTATAACTTCAATTCAACTGGTTTTGACTTCAATACTGTTTGCTTTGATTCTAATCGTTCTTCATATTTGGTATTTATTCTTCAAAATTGTCATATCAAATGTCAAAGTCAAATCAACATTTATAGTTATGCCTCTTTATGTCTTTTCTTTTGATGGCTTGCCTCGAATGAATATGAAGCTCTTTGAGGAGATTTTTATTAATTCTCGTTTAATTTACTTACCGATGTTGAACTTACTTCTAGTAAACTTCTTTGGGCTTTTCAGTCGTTTCAAAGTCATTTAGTCTGAAACCGGACTGATTTTTCTATATACCTGTTCTAAAATGTTTTAGCAATTTATAGTTATTACTTCAAGAAAGGTATGTACTTATTCAGCTAGCATATTGTCTTAGATTCAAGATCTATGTAATTTACAAGTACTTCATCCTACCTAATGTGTCTGAAGATGGTCAGGATGGTGCTGAAACTAGTCACACACATGAGTGTTTAATATTAAATTTTGTGGTCGACCGACTTTGAGTTTGTTTCTTTTTCTCTTTTTGAAGTCGTACAAGGTTTGTATGGTGTAAACCTGCCTATGGTGTTCCATATTTTATTAAAAAGTAGTGAACCTACACATTTGCACGTTACTGAAAAAAATTATTTGAATTTTGACACTACTTGTCATTGTCGATAAGAAGATTGATCAAGATTGACAAGCCTGACTCACAAAAGTATTACTTGTAATCAAATCACGAAATCGAGTGCAAATTTCTGCACAGAAAAGTGCAATTTTTCAATCATTTTGCTCAGGATAGTGATTGGCATAGGTACCGTTCGATGAACTACAATGTTTTTACATGCCTTTGGGGCATATATCATTTCGCTATCAGATGACAGTCAAAATTTGCAGTCGGCTCTCGGACTATAGGAATGTACTTTCATAATATTATTAGAATATGCACATGGAACATTCCATGAATATTGGCAACATCTTAAGAACATTTTATTAATATTCCTACAGCTTGTTAGAATATTCTGAGAATATGCGTGCTATCTGGGAATCGCTTTTGGTTATGTCTCACTGTCACTGCTTGTCCAGTGTCCGTATTCTGATATAAAAGGAAACATCAAAACAGCTAGCAGTGACTAGTACCAGGTGAAGAACTGAAAACGGCTGTCAGCGTGATCTGGAGTATCAAAAGATATCGTGTATTGAAAATGTAATGTATGCATATTATTACACGATTAAATAGAGAAACTAAATCTCAACAGACCAACGAAAACTGCAACATGATAGCTTTTCGCTAACGAAAGATATTGACGATCAAAGTTGAAAAAAGGATTGATGACAGCCGTTCTCAGTTGTTCACCCGGTACATCAAGGAGCTCTCATCACAACAACTGAACAAGCAGCACAGCAGCATGCTACTAGATTCATGACTGGCAAGAGTCTCTATGGAAGTGGTGTAGCTAGACGTTTGTCGTCGCCAATACTAGCGAACTAGTCGAAACTTATAGACTGTTGGCCCGCGACACAGGGTTTATCGATGTTCTAAGTCGGTATGCCATTTAAGGGACCCACTCACTTAGTTCAAGTTAACAGGAAGGAGTGCCTCGGAGAGTCGCAACCCAGTCCTTGCCCAGGCCACAGTAGAGAAGCTCTCTACTGTGCCCAGGCCCTGACCTCACCATTCGGTTGGAAAGAAGTTCAAAATTTTGTTCAAGAAGAAGCTCGGCAATGAAATGCAATGATCTTATCTCACGAAAATTGGGGCGCTTGCCGGTTTGCATACGCCTAGGTCACTCCCCAAGGGCGGCATACGAACCGGAAGTGGCAATTTTTCAGTGTTATAGTCGATTATCGAAGAATGTATGCCCTTTGGCAAAACAATGAATTCTGACCCAATAATCCCGACATTTGCATACGATTCCTGAGACGGGAGCTCGACTCATTCGAACATTAATTGACTAGACATCTTGACATTTAAGTTCGTATGCAAATCTCTAGACCGATAAACTAGGATATTCTTAATAACTGGATGCTATTTGCATACGAATTCAATGTGAGCATACGTTGTAATAATCGGGCAAAACCGCGCGTGCCTTGGTCCGGCGCGGCGCCCCGCACTGCAGGCCAGAGGTGCACCGAAAGCGAACTAGATAATCGGGAAGTCTCATAATCTCACTTCACATGAAACCGGGTCAAAGATCAACTTCTTGGGAGTGATGGGGGTATTCGAAGACGCAAATTGCAGATATATTTGTATTTATTTAGAGGGCTTTAAAAAGTTGATAAAAAAATGACAACAAGATACTCGCAGGATGATCAAGAGGGATCGTACAGGGAGAAGGGGTGGATTATTGCTCATGATCGAAACTCACAATAAATCGAATTGAAATTCTTTCCTGGGGCTTATGGGATTGCTTATCATAATACTGGCGTCTGAAAAATATATAAAGAATGTACATTTGATTTGTTGAATGTTTTGGGAATAGTATGGGGTCTGTATCCTGAACTTTAATCTACATTCTTGTTCTTCACATAAAAAAAATTATTTGAAAATGAAATTATATTGAATGAAAACAACATTATATTTCGAAGGAAAAATTATACGTCGTCCTCTCTATCATTTATCTTCAGAGTAATCTTTTCTCTCGCTGTCTGAAGATGATTCTCCAGAGTTTCATCAGTACCTGTTAGTAAGAATATCATTTAATTATTGAAAAATCTTGTCATGATAGAAAGATATTTCTGATTCTTTCTCAGTTGAAGTCTCAGAGATTATGATATCACCAACCTCCGCTGGAAGAGCTTCACCAAGGTACCAATTGAAATCGTACCCAAAAAAGTATCAAGCGCCCAGCCCTCTTCATTATTTTTCATGTAACTGACATTGACATAACTTCATCAAACCCAGTATAGTTGACTGGCGTTTAGCGATAAGATTCACACGCTGCACTAATTTACAGGGTTACTAGTAATCCGATCCATACCACTGGTAGGGGAGGCAGTAAGAAGTGGATTAATCTGTAATATATACATTATACAAAAGTAAATGGTTTTTGAGATATTTAAATATCGGATCTCCGACAAAAGGGAAAAACATTATTGAATGCCTACTAAATCATTACGTGCTACACTCTACCCGGCTGACGCAGCAATAAATCATTGTTCAGATATGAAAATTGTTGCAGCAAAAAAAAAGGAAATACTTCAAACCCGGGATTCATACTTCTGGCACAATTTGACAATTTGGCGCATGATCGCTATAAGAGTGCTGCGTATAAATGATATCGCTGGATGCCTAAGTTACAATGGCAGATATTTATGGTGAAACACCCTGTACGGAATGTGCAAATTGTATGCAAACCATCATCTCATATATACTGTGTGGTCCACCAACCATTGTCAAAATTTGAACATTTCTTCGATTATCGATTATTTGAAGAATATCCAGTTAAATGATGTTCGAATAAGTCGAGCTCCCCTCTGTGAGTGGGTCCCTTAAATGGCATACCGACTTAGAACATCGATAAACCCCGTGTCGCGGGCCAACAGTCTATTAGCCTAACTTCTCGAAATAGAATCCGACGACAAGCATGCACGGCGTGTAGACCATGTTGAAGGCGATGCCCGCGCACACGCCTATCACCAGCAGGAAGGCCAAGAAGTCCTCGAGGAAGCTCGAGACGAGGAAGGTGGCTGCTGAAAACAGGCCGCCCATGATGCCCACGCACCGGAAGCCGAACTTGTTGGCCAGCGCGCAAGTCAAAGGACCTGAAAATTACAACAGGAATTGAGGAGGGGAATATTCCTTCTGATGCATTTTCATCGAATTAGTTTCACAATGATGAGCTTCATATTTTTGCAATCTTCAGTCTGTTCCAAATTTCTGATCAGCTCTGTAGCAGAATAGCGTCAGTCAAAGTAGCGCTGCCACAAAATAGCGCTGGACAAAACAGCGCAGCACAAAAATAACGCAGATCAAAAAAAGCGGTGGACGAAATAGCGCTGGACAAAACAGCGCCACACAAAAATAGCGCAGATCAAAAAAAGCGGTGGACAAAATAGCGCTCGACAAAATAGCGACATGACATAACAATTGGGAATTTTTCCTCGGTGCATGATCACGACAAACTGTTTATCATGAGGATTAATTGATAAATTGAACAATGTCGAATAATTGAAGTACAAAGTAACAAAATTTTATAGATTCACGAAAGCATGGAAACAATTAGTTGTCAGTGTCATATTTAATCAGAGTCATAAAAAATGCAATTCGGCAAGTCTCAGAAAGGAGGTACTACATTATTCCACGAAAGATATAATTACCGAAAGGACAAGCAACGTGAAGGTCACAGCACATGGCGATGTTTTAAGTCCGGTTGTAAAGGAAGGTTGATGCTCAACGGTGATACAGTAAAACCAACCACGGAACATAATCACGCGCCAAATCCCGTAGAGAAAGTAATCAGGATAGTGAAAGAAACTATACGCGAAGGAGCTTCTAAAACGGATGCAAATCCAAGAGAAATCATACAACAAGCTTGCAGCAGTGTAATTTCGGAAGAAGTGGCTGTTAGTCTTCCAAGCTATGAGGCATCACGCAGAACAGTGCAAAGAATAAGAAACAAGGAATTTTTAAGTTCTTCAGTATTTAACAATATTTCTGAAGTGAGAATGAACGACAAATATTCTGAAACGGACAGAGGTGGAATTTTCTTACTGTGCGATTCAGGAAAAAAAAACCGAAATAGACTTCTGATTTTTGGGACTCACAATAATCTCGATTTGCTCAAAGAATTTCCGCACTGGGCAATAGACGGAACCTTCAAGACCTGTCCAACTTTGTTTTGTCAATTATTCGATCGTTATACATGCATTAATTGACTCGGAAGCTGTACCACTAGTATATGCTCTGTTGCCAAATAAATCAGAAGGTGTTTACGTTCAAGTGTTTAATACCCTAAAAACCTTAAATGCTGAACTGAAGCCTGAAACTATACTTGTTGATTTTGAACAATCGTCTATCAACGCAGTGAAAAAAGTATTCTCCAACACGCGTATTGTCGGTTGTTCGTTTCATATTTCGCAGAACTTATGGAGGAAAATACAAAATTTTCAATTAACAAACCTATACAGAGACAACGAAAACATAAGAACAAAATGTAAGATGCTTATTGCTCTCAGCTATATCCCAGAAAAAGATGTGCAGTTCGCACTGGAAATCATTCGTGAAAACTTTCCTGATGAAATAATGCCGGTGATCGACTATTGGGAAGATAATTACGTCGGTAAGAGGATTCATAATATCAACCCTCGATTCAGTATTAATTTATGAAAGGTCTAAACTGCCAGCATCCTCATGTATACAAATTGATCAATCAATTGAAAAAGGAACAAAAGTCTTCAGAAATCTTCGTAACAAGATACCGTTCAGGATTTAGGAAAAAAGAAAGTCCTAACAATAAATACGTCCAGCTAAAAAACAGGTTGAAAACCTTGGTTCAAACGTATGCTTTCAATAACGTTGAACAGTATTTACAGTCTGTGGCTCATAATTTGTCCATCTAATTTTTTTTGTAATTGTTAAAAACTTGGCTTTGTATTAAAATTGATTTCGAAAACTTCATTTTTCAATCACGTCCTATTCCGATAGTTGATTTTCTAAGAATATTTTACCCAGCGTTATTTAGTCGCAGTGCTATTTGAACCGACGCCATTTTGTCCGCCGCTGTTTTTGTTTTGCGTTATTTTTGTGCGGCGCTATTTTGTCCAGCGCTATTTTGACTAACGCTATTTTAACCTAGCGCTATTTCGTAGCGTTATTTTGTCCAGCGCTATTTCGACTGCCGCTATTCTGCTACAGAGCCCTTCGTATGGATTCTCAGTTTGTACGCCGCGCTCTGAGCTGTGGAGTATTGAGTTCTTGATCTGTTATTCTTGAAGAAGATAATAAAATACATAACTCTCCCAGAACAGTACATAATAAATTGTTGACATCATAAACAGGAGTCTATATTTCACTTCCGATGCTACTCGATGTGGGAGAAAGAGACATTTAATGAGTATGATGAAAATTAATTTCACTTTTTTATCAACAGCACTGGAGAAAAAAGAGTGTACGAGTGCATCTAATGGACTCATTCTCTCGGCCTATGATCCTGATATACCCGGTATCCAGTGTCTCAATATTTGTCGTCAGCCTCAGCTTTTTGTGCGATTTCTTGATTCAGCATACCTATACAATACGGAGAAAAAAAATCACTAACCCTAAGTGAATATTTGATAGTGGCAAGTAAAAACTTGTATACTATATGGGACAAGGAAACAAGTTGATAACCACAAGAATATTTGTGTTCCTGAAAATGTACACCTACCACTTTTGACCTGTTTCATTAAATTTCAGATTGATAACGGTTAGTGAACACATCACTCGTCATCAGTGACCTATTCAATTGTCATCAGTAACTCATTCACTTTCCATTAGTGACTTGTTCACTATTCATTAGTGGCCTAATCACATGTCAATAGTGACTTATCTACTAGTCATCAGTGACTTATTTACTTGTCAATAGTGACTTATTCACTTGTCATTAGCTAGTATGAAAAAATACCTCCATTATTCTCTGAAAAATGATAAAACCTTGGTAATAAGACAAAAACACATGCATTCAAAACATTTTATTATATAGGTATGATGAATCCAGAAAATACAAAAAAGGTCACAGTGCAAAAACGGTGTTAAAGTTTATATTCTGGTTTAATTTTCCATACATATTTTTGGATATTCAATATGCGCAACTTGCCGAGTGATTTTGTTTTGGTTATTTTTTATTAAAGTTCAATTGATATCAATGCTGCTGCGAGACCGCGAAAACGCGTTAATATAGAGTGATACGACAGACAGGGTCTGTAGCTGAACATATACGTCTGGTTATACCAGGTCGTCGTTGAGGAAGAGTTATTTGGGTGAGATCAGAATAATTTTATCTGCTTATCGTTTGGATGCAGCTCCTCTGCTATGTTATTATCAAGATAAAATTCTCATTTTCTTTCTTTGAGAACCATTTTCTGAATTGTTGAAATTGTTGTTTATTTTGTAGTGTTTTTTTTGGTTGCATTATTTTTCATATTGTCATGGTCTGTTTTTATGATGGATTTCTTCAATATTGCAATATCAGGTTAATCATTTTGCCTTTGGAGTAATGCGTTGGAATATATAATTTGTACCTGAAAATATACACTCTAGATCCTAACGAATCTGCTTTACAGCGGTATAGGGCTCCAAACTCCAGGAATCTCGAACCAGTGGCTTTTCGGAACTCTATAATATCCTACCTAGTGTGGACAAATACTCTAGGTGGTTTCAGCATATAAACAGGGGTTGAAAGACTTCCGGGGCTGTCCTGGAGTCCTCTAGCATCGTCGTATGAAGAGGGTCAGGCTGACAAGTGGTCAGTAGTCTCATCAGAGTGGAGGCACGAGCGACGATACAATTTGAGAAGGCGGCGATGATAGATGGATATCATCATAATATAAAATCTCACTTCCAATTATTATTCACAGCTATCCTCATTGACCTCATTCAGAAGGTAACTCAGGTTACATCGAACGTCTTGCTGATGTCCGTCAAGATAATACCGAAGGTATCCGTGGTCTCATCGATGATAAATTTGCAGACGAGGATCTTGATAATATACATTCATGGATATTTTGAACATCGAAAATTTCTTCAGCAAAGTAAGAGGCAGAGATCGAAGCTATATTGCCACTAGAGAAATGTTTGAAACTATGGTGGAAGATTGATTTTTCTTCGTGAACATCTCAAAGATGTTTTCCACACAATTTCCATTCCGAATCCAGAATTCTCATCACAAAGAACCCATTCAAAAGGGAGTTACCAACTATCACGAGTTTACTGCATAGTCTCGTAGAAATTATTTGTGAACTATGTACAAGTTTATATGAAATCATTTCAAACATTGTCCCTGGAAAGTCGAGTAAGTAACGGCAATTTCTAATAATCTGAAAACTAGTGTGAAATAACTCGTTGGAGATTTGGATAATGTCTGATTTACCCTCACAACCAAAAATTCGTCTGTAAAATTTGTGGTTAATTGACCACCCTCGTAGGATGCACCTGGAATGTCTTGCTGATGTCGATAAAGAAAACCCCGAAAGTATACGTTGCCTTATCGATGATAGAGTTGCAGACGAGAATAACAATCATAATTTTCATAGATAGTTTGAACATTGGAAATGTCTTCAGCAAAGTGAGAGGCGGAAATCAAGTCATATTGCCACTAGATAAATGATTGAAACTATGGTGGAAAATTGATTCTTATTTCTTCTTCGTGAACATCTCATAGATCACCTACTATTTTCTGCACAATAATTTCCATACGAAATTAGCAACTCACATAAAAACAGCAGGATACTTCCAAAGGACAGTTACTGTTGAAGTTTCGTTAATTTGAAATTCCTTTTTTTTTATTCGTATAAATAAATACGTATTTTTTTTGTTTCTTGTGGGTACAACAATAACTTATTGATAATAGTGATAATGATTTAGTATGCTCAAATTCAATTAGTTTCACACATATATCTGATGAGCAGAATTGTATTGGTGGTTGCATATCCTCTACCGCTGCTACCAAGTATTAAAACACGTCCGAGCAACAGTCAGGACAGAGACAGGAGGTAGTGGGGATAGTTTTCGAAAAGGAGTGATCGCGAATGCACGCTTCCGCTTTTCGCGAAATTGGACAATTTTG